TCCTTGTCGCGATCACTCGTTAAGCAGATTTCGAGTGCAATTCCTTGATTCCCTACTAAATTGTATTCCGAATGGAGAAGCCTTACTGGTCTACTATATGCTGGTTCCATACGCGAATTAGAACTTCCGACAACGCTTTCCATTACGCCAATTTCTTGCAGTCTCTCCATGCATTCATGGTTCTATTAAACCGCTCTGTCATTCCGTTGGCTTGTGGGTTGTACGGTGACGTGCTTGGTCGCTGAACGCCCCACTCCTTCAACATCACTTGGAACACCTTCGATTTAAAGGAAGGCCCTTGCTCCGGAATGAGGTACTTTTGTATTGCATACCTCGTTGGCACGTTGAATTCGAATACCTGTGATACGGTCTCGCCTGTTTGACCTTTGTTCGGTACGGCTTCTACCTATCGAATGATGTGGTCAATCATCACTAGGATGCACTTGTTTCCTGAGCGACTCAAAGGTAGTGGTCAAATGAAGTCCCATCCCCAACACTGCAACTGTTCGGCAACTGCAATAGATCGCATCGTGGGTCTCGATGCATCACTCTCGCACCGTGTTGCGCACCTTGGGGAATTCCGAATGTATGCAGCTACGTCCTATTAAATGGTCTGCCAAAACACTCTTCTATGCAGCAGTCCCAAAATTTTCTTAAAACTCGTATGGGACTTATCATGAGCCAATGGAATCAACCGTGCTAGTTCGATTTCTGGATGAAGGGTAGTTTCGTCTCGTTCATTCCACCACCGAATCACCCTTTGCGACATAATACCTGTCCCAGATCCGGAGGTGTTCCTTCAAATCTCCTGGTATTATACCCGGCTTATTTCCCGATTGTAAATGAGTACACACTAACATTACGAATTCATCCATCCTTTGCTTATTAAGTAGGTTGCTATCCTCCACTGTTACAGCACACCGGTATAGCATTGTCTGGCATGAGTATGTCTAAAGCCGAGCGCGACAGCATGTCTGTTCTCCGTTTCGCCTATATGCTCGATGGTAAAGGTAAATTATTCGAGCCGATAGACCCATATTGCCACACGCCCCCTCAGGTCTTTCATCGTCACCAGCCAAGGTAGCGGTTTGTGGTCAGTGATGACATGGAACTTATTCGCTAAGAGGTACGTTCTCCACCTCTGCAAAGTCCACACGATCGCAAGACTTTCCTTCTAGGTAGTAGAATACTTTTGCTCTGCGCCCATTAGCACTCTACTGGCAAATTCAGTCACTCAAACTAGTTGGGACAGAACCGCGCCAAATTCAAATTTGCTTGCGTCGACCACCACAGTGAACTCCTCATTCTGACTGGATATGTGTTCACAAGTTGGATCCTTTGAATGCAAGACTTTTGGTGTTTAAGGCCCTGCTCAATCCCGGATAGCCAAACTAACGGTTCGTCTTTGTGGAGCAACATAAGTAACGGGTTGATCGTCTCTGCAAAATGTCGCACGAATTTCGAATTATATGCCACTGTTCCCTAGAATAAACGGAGCTGAAACTCAAATTTTGAATCGGCAAATCTCTTGATTGTCTCATCTTCCTTAGGGAGTGATTTTACTTGGCCAATCCCCACAATGTGACTGAGGCACACGAAAGCATTCTGGACCAGTTGCGACTTTTGCGACCTAGTTTTATATCGGATTTCGCTAGTCGTTGCAGTACGGCTACGCGTTTGGCACCACGTTCATGTTCTGTCTCATAGAAATTAAAGTTGTCATCTCCAAAGAATCAGCACTTTTTAAAGGTATTTCAGAATCATCAGTAGTAAGCGTCGGAATGTAGCAGGTGCATTGCACATTACAAATGGCATTCTCAGAATTTCATACAACTGACCGGTCACACTAAAATCGGTCTTATGACCATTTTCTTCCGTAATTGAAAACTGACAGTATCCCGAGCGGAGATCTATCAACGAAATCTGCTTTGCGTTGTGTAAATTAGAACTAATATTCTCCATCTACGACGTCGGAAATGCGTCCTTCACTATCACCGTATTTAGCTCTCTGAAATCAATGCACAATCTGTAGGTTCAGTCTACCTTTTCCGTCGATAGGAACGGTGATAGATACGGGCTGTCCATTCTTCTAATGATCCCTTTAGTCCACATCACCACCACCTTTTCCTGTACCTCCGACAAGGTATTTTGTTGTGTTCTTCTGTAAACTTGCTTGCATTTCTTCCCTGGGATTAATGGTATCCTGTGTTAGATGCAGTTGCAGAACCCGTAACTATCATTCACATAGGTGTCCAAGTGCACATAATTCTGTAGCCCGTCCCGTATCGTGCGACTTGATCAATCGGATAAAACGCTCACGACCCCCGTTAGGTTACATTGTCCTGCGCTCACCTCGATTGTTGCGTCACTCATAATTACCACGTCTCTTCTCAAATCGATCCTGGCACCGAGTCGCTTGAGGATAGCATTACCGACTATTGTTTGCTTAACCTATTCCACGATGAAAATCGAATAATTAATAAATGTTGCTCCTTTCATAACTTTCAATCGCTGAGCAGTTATCACCTTCAAGCGATGCCCGAAGAGTGACTGTATTACAAGTGAGTACTGAGTTAATGGCATCCCACTGACCATTTGCGTAATGGCAACCCCCGCCACTTCGTCTACTATGACAAGGACTGACGCCTGTTCAATATTCATTTCAAAGTGCGGTACTCTCCACATACTCGGCATGGACAAGGAGAAACAACAATACACTTTTATGTTCATACAAAATCTGGCGAAATGACCTACATGGTTGCATATTAAACAGCGAGGGCCATCTCGGCTTTCATATTCGTTGCGTTGTGGGACCTATTTCATGGGATTTCTCGAATTCAGCTTTGCCACCATCCGCGTCAACTCGTCTACTTTTCTCTTTCCAGCTCCAAACATTGGCTCCTCCGTACCGTCCCAGATTCCGAAAAGTTTGTATCAAAGTTATTTAGCTCCTCCGCTTTGTTGACTCCAACCTTGGATCCTAATTTGACACTATCCTGAAGTTCGGTTGACAGACTTCGGACCAACTACCCTCTTAACAATCGTTCTCTCACAGCGACATTTAAATCGAGGAGCCCAATCGCCAGATGCCTACTCAGCCCCTGGAAAACATCATGAAGTTTTCGTGCTCTTCCATTTTTGCAGAGTGAACACGCTCCAAATCCTGCAGCCGATAAATTTCCTTTCCGAATTCTGCACACAGCACTACCTATATCTCACTGAATACGCAACCGGTTTTCACCTTCCGAGTCAGTAACTACATCGCCTTCGCTCTCCCGGTTAACAACTGCTCATCGTCTTCAGTAGGTTAAAATCACCTTTGACTATATTGCATGCTGCAATAGTTTCAAAGTTCTCGAAACAAACATCCACATCTCCATCGGAAAACTGCTTTGGCGTGGTCAAATTCCTACTGTATGATAATGGCACCAACGTAGAAATAATAAAACGGCGAGGAAAAGAATGCAGTAAAAGACAACACAATCTTCATTGCACGCGAACACGGTTTTCACAAGCTGCGCGCAGGCGCCCATTTATCGAGCGTGTCTCCAACTCACAACACAACATACATGGGGAATCGAAACATAGCACGTACGTCCCACATTGGCATGCAAAGTTAGGGACCAGGGCTGCATGGCCGACCCCTTAGCTTTACTACCGCAACTCGCATTCTGCTCAACTTGGAGCTTTTCTAATGCTCATGATTAGCTTGATCTCGTCTGAGTTATTCTGCAGAGGGCTGCTCTTGGATAAACAGACATAGGAATCTTGGTCTAACTACTTAACCAATCGACACATTCGATTTATCCCTACTGCTACTATATCGCTACCTTCCTTGCCCACAACTTATGATTATTTTTCGCATTTACGTCGTGCCTGCAAACAACGTGGTTACCAATCTCCCTTAGAAGGCAATGTGTGCGTGTATACAAGTGTGGTAATGCGATAATCATGGAGAAGTCGTAAATACGCAGTCCAATTTAATCGCTATTCATTTAGGTACCGTTATTATCCCACAAACTATCCTACAATAATTGCTGCTATTTAGTTTATTCACACGTAATACGCCAACTCCCTCCACCACGTGCTTTAATCATGCTTGATCTCATCAGATACGGAGAGCAAGCCACAAACCCGCGAACAGTGGGGTTTCAGTTGGAATTTCTACAAAGTAGGCAAGCAGGTCTCGAAGGATAAATCTCGACGCCATGGTTAATGACTAATTACTAGGTGTTATATTGTACTGCATGCGTGTCGTGAATGGAATACTGTAACTTTGGTGCGCAGCATCCATTTAGAATACGCATCACCTACATACTAGTGATCGAATAGTCCAAGGTGCGCTTCAAAGCGATTCAGGGCCCATACGGAGATTTCACGACGCGTTGTTGATCTGGTCCAATTGGGCAGGTTAGTGTACAGGTAACAATCTGCGTAGATAAATCGTGTTTGACCTGTTCATGTATTAGCGAAAATAAAAGATCTTCTGGTCAGTTTTGGACAACCTCAGCAACTTGTGAGCATAGCCAGTGCATCATTCGAATTGCATGGAAAATATGATGAAGCCGTGTATCTGTAGTTCAACGTCAACTTTGCATCAAACTGTCATTCGATGCAAGAACAGTGCTCTTCTCATTTGCAAATCTAAACTGTGCTTCTAGTTTCAAGGTCAATGGGAAACCGCCACTCTTTGTTCCGTTCATCTATGGGTTTCTGTTATGATCTCAGATTTTGTAGCTCAGCCATAGAAGGAATTTGACTTGTTTTCGAGGTCAATCGGTGAGAACTCGCAGTCTCAGATGGAGTCACGATTTGCTGCTTGTGTGGCAAACGCAGTGTTTAAAGGGAAAACTGTGCTCTACCGAAATCATCGTACGATAATTTAGCATAGTGGATCACGCCACTAGTTGGAGAGTGGTGAGACACGGCTCATTGTGGTATAAATGTGCAAGCGTAGTTGTTGTGGACAACTTGCCCAAGTGTTATACCGGACGATCAGAATGAACCAGTTTGCCGTTTTGCTTATTACGTTAGTTCAGGTGGCGCAGCTTACAAGTGGCACTGAATACACCGATTGCGGTGAGTTTTGAAGGTAATCGGTTGAATAGGATTGCATTGTCAAATGGGATCAATGACGAGCTGGGAGTTCCACTAGAACCAGTTCCACGGCTGCGCTTACCAATTGTCTTCTATAATAACTTTGTGCCTGTGATCGCCTTTGAACGTCGCTTCGAGCGGCTAACGTTATGAAACGACGATCGACTAAGTGCAATGGAGAACACCCAACACTCCAACATGTGCTGGACGGAGTCTATGCATTAACGTCCAGGACTCAGCTCCAATGTGTTTCATCTGCCGACCAAACCGTATGTAGATGCTGAGGAATCAAGTTCTGCAGGAGTTTCCTCAGAAGCGTGAGCGTGAGCTTGAGCTAACCTCACCCATTTGACTTCGGATATGTGAATCTTTCCAAGGTTCCAAAGACCGGCAATCAGTACGCTGGTCTTCCGCGGTGACTGGAAGAATGGTTTGCTGAATTCGTTTGGCAGAAGAGGCACGACAGATACGTGTGGCCTCATGTGTCAATCGGCATTAATGCATGGCAGCTATGGCAGAATTAAGAGCCTACCACAATCACAATTCCTCAACAAAAAGTGACTAAACATACCACAAATTGTTCTCCCTTCTATAGCGACTTAGCTTGGTTGTGCTACGGTGGAAAATGTTCAAGAGCGGTGCGTACTCTGCGCTCCGAGAACCTCCTGCCAGAAGCCGAGAAATCTCAGCCATGTGTGACGCAATCAATTGCAGCCTACTCGCAGCATAATCCCATGGGACGGTTGGATTTCTTTGACTAAACACTACGGCTAGGTGAAGTGTTAATAAGGCGTTTTCCTATTAGCCATTAACTCGTTTCCAATTACGCTGCTTCTGCCTCCACATTAACAATGTTCGATAAATCATATGAGGCTGCATGAACATTGTATGCACTAGTAAATTAGTACCATCTGCATTCGGAAATGATATAGCATGAGAAGCGACGCGCTGGACAGCTTTCCCTACACACTTGAGGTAGGCACTTTTGCACGATAGTCGAGTTAACATAATATTGGGTATATACTGGCGCTTTCAATTAGTCGCAACCTTTCCGTTTACACTGATGTCGCTTAATTTGGCCATCACACGGTACTCACTAGCACTTACATTTCAACCCGTAATGGTCATTTTCCATTGTCCCTGCATTCGCTGACGGATGCCGTGTGTAAACATGTGATCCATTGTACATGTTCTTGAGAGAATATTGTTGAACTACATCAGTATAACGCTCCTCTTATGCTTACTTGTTTTCATTGTAGGCTCAACCATGGGCTCACTGAGTGAGGTAAGCGTGACTCCATGCGACAGCAGTCCGTGCACATTGTACAAGGGCGAGGACACTCGTGTGAGAGTGAAATTCACAACAAGTGAGTGTAACACAGGACACGCATTTATAGGACTAGACATTTGTAAATTGACTGGTTGATGCCTACTTCTCTCACATACACCTCTCGTCTACACTTTCAAACTCCCACAGGTAGACGCATCACAACCGGGACATTCTTATTTTCGGGAATTATTGACGGGCAAGAGATACCGTTCAACCTGACGAATTCCTACATTTGTCCTTATATGCGACCCAGATGTCCTCTCCGAGCCGGTAGAACCGTGTACACTTTCACTTATTCTCTACCTGTCCAGACGTCATATCCATCAGTGAGTTTGAAGTTGGAAACACTGCAAGCATGTATTTGCCACTGAAGTTAGACAGACAGTTGAGCATTCAGCAATAAACATATCCACTGCAGCTGTAATGTCAGCACGCTTCTAATGTGAAGGTGCACAGATATTTATGTCGTATCAATTGATGATTGGTAGAGAATTCTCACCTTCATTTGGCAACCGTTCTCTCATGGTTAATATGGAATGGAAATTTCACCATCCTGATTTAGAACATGAGTCTCAGCTGACTCGTGTGTTTGTGCGGCACGCATGAGTCCCATTTAAGTGGAAACACCGTCTCTCATCAGTTGAATACATGTTGCCCATCTTCCTGAATAATTTGAATACCCGTAAAATTCCTGCAATGCACCTCAGCGATTGAACGGAATGGCCGTCCGCAGTTGGTGCGTGTGTGCATTGGAAGACAATGCCTGTCGTTTGCACCACGCTCGCTGTCTCATACGCGTTTGCTAAACTGCATCCTGGCAACAATGCATTTCGCGTAGATGAAAACAACATTATTTGCATAAATAGTATTTCCCACATACTCGAGAGATTCACGAGGATCGATTACGCCAAGTTGGTCGCTAATCTCTAAGGCGTCTGTGCACACGAGTGGATGAGACTAGTCCTAGTGGGCCTTAACAACGAAAATGACCGGCATGTTTGGGCTGCTCACATGAGTACTCGTTCATGAACTGACACTGCTCTTATATCTACTTTGTTTCAGATTACACTCCCAGTGGATTGGAAATTGGTTACCAACGGTCAGACGGCCATCTGTGCGCGCATCCCAATCAGCATTGAGTGGCGTGGGCAAGGACAAGACTTGGTCGCTTGAGTGTGTGGATTTAACCATTGGAATACACCAAAGCATTGGTCAAGTGTTCACTGCTTCATACCAACCCACGGTTTAGAACAGGATTGCGTGACACTGGATTTTGTGGGTATTTGGACGGGTGGACGAAGTTCAAAACACAAGGTGCGTAGTGCGACCCGCGTCCATCGTTCCAGGTGAATTGTACACGTCGTACAGCCATCCGAGTGTGTTTTAGTACAGACATTTGAAAATCCCCGTATTTGGATGGTCCCGTTAGGAAGGCGAACTTTGACAGATGTATGCAATTCGCACTGTGGCTGAATGCAATTAACCACATGCAGTTATGTACTCAAACTGGGAATGCGATCGGCCAAGCATGTACTACAAGCTACATATGGAATCTGGGCACATACGCATGGTATATTCAATGGGTGTCGAGTAACCTTTGGTGATCCCACAAAACAGACCGCATCTGATTTACGCTAACAGCCTTGTTGGAGTAAGATGTGCGGAGTTTCGAGTAGTAAAGCTCAATACTGAGCGCCAAACAGCACACTATCCATTAACTTGTGACCAGTCGGTGGTTATCCATTAGGAATGCTTACGCCATCTTGCGGACGGGGATACAGAAACAGGTTGTGACTGTAAGGTCCATACTTTTTATGTTTGTCCCAATTTATCCATCTCAAAGTCAGTATTTGTAGCAGCAGTCCATGCTTCGGGGACATATGCTTTATTCGACAAACCAGTTTCAGCAGATTCGACAATATAACTGGCAATAAGAATCCCTGCTCAATAACTAGGTTACTTCTATAACTAACGACACCTCTGCATCCAGCATGTCCCACTTTGGAATCACTCAAACAAACTCATTTCAACGCAATCAAATATAAAAGAGTCATCGCATAGTTAAAATATGCGTAGGCGTCCAAACAGCTGCTCCGTTCGCTTGCGGCAAGCCAGCCAGTTGATTCGTCTCGTTCCTCCGATTGCACAAGCCCATCAGAGATTTCGCTTGCTCGTGGGCAGAGGCATCGTTGCCGCTGAAGATTCCTTACACGCTTCCGTACCTAGTGGTCTTTGGTGCCCTGTCGTAATCTTTCCACAAACCGTCGTGTGCCCTGCTTCCGATTCACATTCACTTTCCCATACTTGCCTCAGCTGAACTCAGTTCATTGTGCAAATTTACCATCCAATACTGCTTTTAAATATGTTTCCCAGATTTTCGTGGTCAATACACTTTGCTTCCATTGCTTGCTGACACCCGGTATTGGTTACATCCACCCAGCATCATTTACTGATGGCTCAGGTGGCACTCGATTAACGCAGTTGAATGGGACACAGGTACATGCAAGGAGTTAGCCATTCACAACAGCGACTAAACAACCGACTTCGCACAGGTCTGCACGCTTTAGCTAGAGATAGGATTTGTGAGTGTTTCCCCTTGTATCGGACAAACAAGTTGTTCAGTCCTTTTGGAGCCTGTGTCCCCGTTTTCCTTCCCAGAGTCCTACCATTGGCCTTTCACTGATTTCTCGTATTAGTTTGCATAAGATTGGTCTCAGTTCTCTTTCTCTCTTACCCATACCATGTAGATGGATAATCCGCTTGCTTTTGTGTATGCAGCCCAGCCTATGAGTACCGACTAACTTCGCTTATGTGGCTTTCCATGCTGAAGTACCAATAGACACTACAGCGCACGACCTAAGACTCATTGCTCTGACTGTGCGGGACAAGCACGCTTGCCTGTCTATCTTGTGTCGATGAATCATTTAGCAGAACCGTTTTATTGGTGCTTTCTTTTACTGGCTAATCATATCAGATTTGCGACGCTAGCTTTGGGACCACCGGTCTGTAACCCATTTTTGTCATCGATTGGCGCATGGATCAGTCTTCTGCAATGTCGACCGAAGACTTTGTTTCCGTTATTGGGTGTGCGGAACACGTTTGAGGTGTGTCACCTTTTAGCTTTCATCGTCCTTTAATAGCACCGTAATGCCACCGACTTTAGCTGTTTTATTATTGCGGGACATATTTATCTGCTAGGGATCGTGAATAGGTTTCCCGTGATCTGCAATCCATTCCCATCTTGAAATTGGACAAGCGGTGAGTACGCGTATAACTCTACAGTTCCTAAGTGTTTTGACGCTTACACACTGGACAACTCACTATAGCTCGGCTATGCATCAGCCAACCATGTGTGCCGAGTAGGCAGACGGTCATGCATGGTGAACAATAAACAAGGATTTATGACGAGGGCGAAATCCATTGCTTGACAAGTTCAGTGGGATGACCGGCGTGAGAACTATGAAACCGAAAATGAAATCGATAGGAATAGTGGGTGAATTTTAGAGTTCTAAGTGGGTTCCTAAGCTATTCACATGAACTCCGATGCAGGTTTCCCCTCCGCTACATTATCGATGCTCGTGGTGAACACTCTGTTTCGCCTTACCTTGTCTACCGCATAAACAGAATTTTATCATGTAAAGCAAGTAAGATGTTCTTTTGAATTCGTCAATGTGAGGGCAAACTGATAGTTGTCAGATAGTGCAGCATTATTGAATACGTGAAGTGGGAAAACTGTGGTCGATCATCTAGTAGACTGTAGTGAGTGGTATGTTTGGAATGTAGGCTTTTGTGATATGGCCGAATTGCAACAGACTGCGAAATGCGTGACTGGTGTCCGCCGGTACTAGGTAAACCATGATGTGATGTGCTCAGCGACGCTGATGTCTACTGTTGCATAAACTTTGCCGTTCGCCAGGTTGCACAGTGACACATTCTTTCTGATCGTAATGACTGACGTCTAATTCAAAGTGAACCGAGTTCTAAATAGAGACCTAATCCAACCACACAACGGGTACTGCAAATCCAACTTTGGACACATTGTTCTATTTTCCATCTAGGAATCGAATATTGGCACACTGGGGATTGCAATGCAATGGTTCGGCCACAGCCACAAAAATTTTATGTTTGGAGGTTCTCACATTACGACGCAGCAACACGGGTCCTGGCACGCTCAGTCAACTCTGCAGCAAGATTCCTGATGTTGATTTACGGTTATAAGAGAAGAGGATCTATGCGTAGTAGAGTTTGTGGCAGGGCAGAGAAGAGAACAATTAGATTGCAAGGATTCCAGCAGTGCACTTTTCCATCGAGCAATTTCGAGACCTTTGGGTCTACGTGAAAATTTAATGGATTTCCAGATGAAACCATTGATACGTTCCACTTGCCTATTACCCAGAGCGTTGTAAGGTATTGCCGGCTGACTGCAATAATTTGCTCATTTTGAAAATAACGTATGTGCTGAGACCCAAACGACGGACCGCGATCAGGATGAATATAAGCTGGCATGCCGAAGACAGCAATTAGTTGGTTTAGACAGCTGATCGCAGTCGGTGCGTCCATGTCACTTCATACGAAAGCAAGCGGAAAGCGAGAGTATTCGTTAGCGACGGTGAACAAGTACATGTTGTTTGTTGTCGAAAGCAGAAAACCTTTGTAATCCATATTTACTGTTTCAAAAGGCTGCGTCGACTTGATCGTTCCGGAAGATTTGTAAACTAGGAGTTTCATCACAGCATAAATGCTGCGGAGGGGGGCTCATCGTCGCAGTTTCCGTAAACGAACCAGTCGAGACGTTCTGGTGACTTCGGGATGGCATATAGTATCATGTTCCTGGTGTGTTATGGCGTGTGATTACGATGAGTCACATGTGCGAGATAAAGTGCCTACAGCTACGTTATCCCTTTCATTTCAGTAAGCCAACTCATATGTATAACATGAGAGTTCAACGCGCCAGCGATAAATGTTATCGTTTTTGATCTTGCCATGCTGTGACGGAGGTTAAATTTGAACGAGGCAGATAGTTGATCAGCGATAATAGTGATGCAGTTGCTTATTGAGTTAATCCGCCGTTCGTGGATTAACGCAGGGATAACATGTGCCTCCTACTCCACCGCAAAATCGCGTCGTTTACTGGCGGACAGTGTTCGCGAGAAAAGAGCTACTGATCGTCTTTCTTGTGTAGTATGGCGGCGTAGCAATATCATTTGCATCTACTTCAATGACTAAGGGTATGGGGTCATCAATAGGGATGACCGTGAAGTTTTCGTCACTTTCTTGATTATTTGAACGACTTTAGAACCAATTAGGGGACGGGAAGGTAACAATTTTTGAATTGCAGTCAGATTTTGTCGGCGAAATATAACATCCATTGGGAATCATATGCAACAAGTCCAACAACATATTGTCACTTGGTGCGGGCTGGCATTACACTGCTTGAAGTCGGTCTGGGTCTGGTCAGATAACCTCGTGTGAAAACCTCGTGCGAACATATAATACATTTACTCCCATCGAATGTCATGTGTTTTCGTTCGACTTCGTAAAACTTTCGTAGATTCCAATAATGCTCTTCTTCGGTTGCGCCGCTCACCGTTGTTTTAAATTTACGCAAATGTCGCGTTCAAATTCCCTTCGGCTTTTATTTTAATGATGACCCTTTTAAAACAGGCGACCTTGGTGGTGACATCATAAATTATACGACAGAAATGGATGGGATTTTCGTAGTTTAAGTGTGAGAACTTTCCTTACCCTTGCCCTGATAGGTTTGAAGCGTTGTCCACAGGAAATGTTGTCGATAAGAGCGTCAATTTTGGCCAGGTGTGCCTATCCAGATGAGTACACTGCTTACTGGTTTGACTGTAATCTACTACCATAAGGCGTTTCTGTGTTCTGTAGTTATTTACTGTAAATTGAGCTCCCCACGGGGATACCGAGCGTTCGATAATTCCGTCCTTGAGAAGCCTCTGTATTTCCATACAAGTGAACCTCTCGCTCGTAGTAGAGCGACGTCTCGATTTTGTGGCGATGGACTTGTAGGTGGAAGCATCGTTTCGAAACAGAAAGGGGAAATTCACACCAGCACCTAGACAGGGCACACAAGGAGAGGAGGGTTGCTCA